GCTACGAAGACAATCTGAAGCTGGGTGCCTCGAGCAATCCAAGAGGCTGGAACCACACGCGGCTGGAATCGCATACGGAACAGGTGGAGGCCAATTGCCGGGCACGCGTGCGGGTGGCTGGCGCACTTCGCCGCACGAGGGCCGAACCCTGGAAAGCCATGCGGCAACCTGTGCCTCGCCCAGGCTGGCCCCGTCAGGCGGATGCAGCTTCCCGATAGGCGGCGCGCAAGGACGAGTGTCCCGTCTGGGCGGGTTCCGTGTCTCCGGCGAAACGGGCATGCGGGGGAAGCGCCGCCGGGTGAAGGCAGGGTTTGCGCCCTGCGAGCACCGCAGTGGGCCGCGGGCACCACGACGCGTTCGGCCAGGAGCACGAAGAAGACGAGGACATCTAGAGGAGGACGAGGAGGACGACGACGACGAGGACATCAAGAGGAGGACGAGGAGGACGAGGACATCAAGTGGACGAGGAGGACGACGACGACGACGACGACGCGGACGAGGAGGACGAGGACATCAAGAGGAGGACGAGGAGGACGACGACGAGGCCTCCCCTTCTCGGGCCAAGGAGCGCCCAGGCCCCTCCCGGAGCTCGAATCGACAGCGGATGTGGACTCGAGCAGGTCGTGTCGGCCCGGTCCCGCCTCCCTGCCTCCCTCCTCCCAGCTCCTTCCTTTCCTTGTCTGTCCTTGTGCGTGGCGCCTTCCAATCTGTTGAAGAGGACGACGACGACGACGACGACGACGACGACGACGACGACGACGGCGGCGACGACGACGACGACGACGACGACGAGAGGAGGAACACGACGACAAATATGACGACGAGGGAAGGAGAAGGAGAAGTGACGAGGGAGGAGGGAAGGGGCATGAGGAGGTTGCGGAGCAGGGGGAGGAAGATGAGGAGAAGGAGAAGGTGGGAGCTCTGCGTTAGCAGATCCCTATAAGCATGAGCGCTCTGACGCAGCAAATCTCTCTAGGTATATGCTATCCGGGATGTCATTAGCTATGTCTGCGCATTCCCAAACGGCGCCGGCGCAAAAAGGGACGTTACCAGCCTCCTCTCCCCCTCCAGCAACGCCCGTGATCGCCGCCTGGGGATACAGAACGCTCTCGATCTGTGAAGGCCCCGGGCACCGAGGCGGGGCAACAAAAACGCCCTGCTCGCAAAAGCTGAGAAGCCACTTCTGCTCATTACCTGCTGCACGACTGCCAAGCTGGCTCAAACGCAGGGGGGGAACTCTGGGGGGTGAACCTTGTTGTCGCCTAACCTTGAAGTGCGACCCGTGACTCACAAAGGACGCCGCACCGCCCCTGCAAGCACCCCCACACTAGCACGCAGCCTCAAGGGGGCGCAGGAATGAGGAGGAGGAGGAGGAAGAGGACGAGGAGGAGGAGGCAGAGGAGGAGAAGGAGGAGGAGAAGGAGGAGGCGGAGGAGGCGGAGGAGGCAGAAGAGGAGGAGGAGGAGGAGGAGGAGGAGGAGGAGGAGGAGGAGGACGAGGTAGGAGGAGGAGGAGGAGGAGGAGGAGGAGGAGGAGGTAGGAGGAGGAGGAGGAGGAGGAGAGGAAGCGGAGGAGGAGGAGGAGGAGGAGGAGGAGGAGGAGGAGGAGGAGGAGGAGGAGGAGGAGGAGGAGGAGGTAGGGGAGGGAGGAGGAGGAGGAGGAGGAGGAGGAGGAGGAGGAGGAGGAGGAGGAGGAGGAGGAGGAGGAGGAGGAGGACGAGGAGGAGGAGGAGGAGGAGGAGGAGGAGGAGGAGGAGGAGGAGAGGAGGTAGGAGGGAGGAGGAGGTAGGAGGAGGAGGAGGAGGAGGAGGAGGAGGAGGAGGCGGAGAGGCGGAGGAGGAGGAGGGAGGAGGAGGAGGAGGAGGAGGAGGAGGAGGAGGAGGAGGAGGAGGAGGAGGAGGAGGAGGAGGAGGAGGAGGAGGAGGAGGTAGGAGGAGGAGGAGGAGGAGGAGGAGGAGGAGGAGCGGGAGGCGCGGCCCGGGCGGGCGAGCGCGCGCCCCGGCGGCCCCTGCGAGCCGAGGCGGCGGCAGGGCCCCCCAGAGGACCCCTCCTGGCAGCGGCCCACCCCGCGCGCTGCAGGCGAGCAGAGGGCAGAAAATCCACCCCGATAACCCCCGATAAGATTGGAGGCCTAGAGATTGGCACCAGCACCAAAACCGGGAGTTGCCTCCACGTGGGGAAGACGATCCTAGATTGCGGTGTCAGTGGCAATGTTTCAGTCACCTCGGAAGCCAGAATATTACCACCATCACCGAGATCGGGATCTTCTTCCCTCGGTGGAGACACACCGCCGATGTTGGTGTTGGTGTCAACCTCTAGGCCTGCGATAATAACCACCCCGACACCCAAGCCGTTTAGTAAACGCACCCAGGGAGAGAATCGAACAGGGCAGGGCTGTTCAGTAAACGCTCAAGGCTGTCTAGCAAACGTCAATTGTCGGGTCTGGGTGGTTCTTCCTCCCTTGATCGAGGCTCAAACAAGTACACCAGAGAAAATCCCCAGTCAGTGGATGGTCTGATGAGATCACCCATGAGATCGATAAAGAATCGTGGAATCGATAAAGAGATCCATAAGGAGATCGACCAAGAACCTGGAAACCCACCGAAATCGGCCCCGAACCAATAACCAGGAACCCGGAACCGCGGTATACCAACATCGGCGGGAAACTTTCGCCAAATCTTTCAATTACACCCGAGGAAAACCCCAATCAGTGGATGGTTTTCGCTGAGGAAATCGACTGGGAACCCGGGAGCCCGGGAACCCAGAACCCACCGAAATCGGCCTGGAACCAATAACCGGGAACCCGGGAACCCGGAACTGGGAACCCGGGAATCCAGCCAGCCACCAAAATCGGCGGGAAACTTTCGCCAATTCTTCCAATCTCCGCCAGGGCCCCTTCAGCGGAAGCACTGATGGGGGAATGCGGACGCGCGAGAAGGCTGCCAGAGCCTTGAAGGCCCTGCCGACACCTTCCACGAGCGCGGCCGGCGAAAGTGGCCGAGGGTGAGCCGATGGGGACGGACGCCGGGGTACCCTACCCTGATGGTCCGCTACCGAAAATTTCCGGTAGCGCTCCGCAGAGATCGGTCGCTATCGAAATACCGAAATGTAGCGCCCAATACCGGTATCAGAGCGTTCTGAAACCCGCTATTTCCACGCCCTCAAACGAAGATCCAGTCGCTACCGAAATTCGGGGTGCGTCGAAATCGCTACCGAAAATCTCCGGTACCAGACCATCTGGGTATGGATAGTCGCCCATCCTTCCTGGGCGCCTTGACTGCAGAGCGGACCGGCCGTGCCCCTGCCCCCTCCCAGGCTCGGTGTCCGATGCTCGGCGACGTTCGAAGCTCGAGGCTCGTGTCTCTCCTGGGCACAGGGCTGCACGCGCAGTTAGGACTCCTACGCTCGCTGCTCCATCAATGGCCCAACCACGACAGCAACTCTCTCTCTGCTCCGACACCGTGTTTGGCGGCATTCGGGTATGACACAGCTGCGCAAGAAATAGTCGGATGGATCTTGCAATGCCAGATATAGAGGCCTCCTAGATGGGGTCGGAGTAGATGGGGTCGGAAGATCGCACCGCATCGCCGATGCATCGGCGGCGATGCATCGGCGATGCACCGGTGGTGCCTGCGTAAAACGTGCCTCCGCTGGGCCTCCCAGGAGCCCACGAACGTGGAGACATTTTCGCACATCGCAGCGCCTCTGGGGACGGCGAGGTCTCGTGGTGATCTGCGTAAGATGTACCTCTGCTGGGCCTCCCAGGAGCCCACGAAAGTGGCGACAGCTTCGCATAACGCAGCCCCCCAGGGGACGGCGAGGTCTCGTGGTGATCTGCGTAAGACGCACCTCCGCTGAGCTTCCCAGGAGCCCACGAAAGTGGCGACAGCTTCGCATATCGCAGCCCCTCAGGGGACGGCGAGATCTCGTGGTGATCTGCGTAAAACGTAGCTCCGCTGAGCTTCCCAGGAGCCGACGAAAGTGGAGACATTTTCGCACATCGCAGCCCCTCTGGGGACGGCGAGGTCTCATGTACCTCCGCTGGGCCTCCCAGGAGCCCACGAAAGTGGCGACAGTTTCGCATATCGCAGCCCCCCAGGGGACGGCGAGGTCTCGTGGTGATCTGCGTAAGACGTGCCTCCGCTGGCCCTCCCAGGAGCCCACGAACCAACTAAGGGAGGCTTGGGAATCATCCACGAGGCAGGGAGGAGGAGGAGGAGGAGGAGGAGGAGCAGGAAGAAAACGAGGAGGAGAAAGGAGGGAGGAAATAGGAGGAGTGAGTGAGTGAGTGAGAGATGAAGACCACGGTGCTCGATTCAAAACGAGAACCCAACCAAGGGAGGGTTGGGAAAAGACACCCTGGGCATATTTAAGAAAAACTACAACGCCTCCCAAAATGGCCCCAGGAGGTCAAAATCTTTAATTGTCCGAAGGGTTTGGACGTTTCTTGGTGTTCTCGCCTTTTCGGGTTTCCGACGCTCGATGCCAGCCCAAGAGGCCCCCAAGATCGCCCCAAGACGGCCCAAAAAGGCCTCCACGAGGGCCCCCAAACGGCCCAACAGGGCCCCACGACGGCCCCAGCGACGGCCCAATAGGCTCGCCCCAAAGGCGGCTCCGGGAGGGGGCCCAGATGCAGAACCTTTCGCGAGCAGTTCGAGCCCTGGGCCCCGAAGGGCCCCCAAGGAGGCTCCAAGAGGTCCTCCTGTTTCTCCGTCGCTGCTCCGAGTTTCTTGATAAGCGTCGGGGGGGCGTCGCCCCAGCCGACAGCCCCACATCGACACCCCCTCGCGGGCAGCCCCCGAGGCGCTCCGACCCCCGTCGCGGCTCGACGACGAGGCGAGGTTGCCCCCCCGTCGCGGGGGTACCCCCCCACGCTTAGGAAGAAGCCCAGAGTATCCTCCGCCTGCTCCTCCTCGCCCCTCCCCCTCGAAGGCCTACGACCATGCCAACACAGGGGGAGCTCCACGAGCCAACGGCCCGCCGGCGCCGTCGCGGGGGCTCCCACCGGCACGGACTTGTTCAGCTCGGGCCGCTTTGACAGCGCGCTGACCAGCATGGCGGTGTTCACCTCACGGCGGCCCGTAGCAGCGACCGACGTCGGGTCTCCACCTCCTCCTCCTCCTCCTCCTCCTCCTCCTCCTCCTCCTCCTCCTCCTCCTCCTCCCCCTCCCACTTTCGGTGCAAACCACCTTGTCGGCTCCTGCGAATCGACGCCCATCGGCCGACGCTAGTCGACGCTCTTCGCCACTAAATCGACGCTAAGCTAGCCGATGCTACATCGGCGCTATCTCATCGACTCCCAGACGCTAATCGACGCTAAAGACGGCATCAAGAGGGACGGCATTAAGAGGGTACACCAGGCTCCCATGATTTACTGCCGAACCCATTCCTCCCCTGAGATCCTGGCGTCTCAATTTGTTCGAGCCGGGCACTTGCGCCAAGGTTCGGGCCACGGGATCCTCGCAGATCGATGCGGCTCAAAAATGGCGCAGGAAGATGGGGTATGGGGCTCCACATGTTTTTTCAACTGTGGCACTCTTCCTTCGAGACGTCGGGTCAGAGGGTCCACCAACATCCCCTGTTCTTCCTCCCTCTCCGCCTGGATGGCGGAAGGAGGATGAATGGAGGGCGAGGCGGGGGGGGGAACGAGGGAGGAGCAGGACTACATGACTGACTGGACACTACGATCCATGACATGCTCTTGAACTCAATAATGCAACATAACGACTCGACATGCATGCTGGATCTGTGACGCTCATGCGACTGTAGGAGCCTGCCTTGCAGCCTCGCTGGGGGACACCACCGACTGACGGCGGGACACCGCGTTCAGAAGGAGGGTTAGCAGCATAAGGAGGAGCATGCAGGAGGAAGGAGGTGCGGAGTAGGAGGAGAAGATACCAGAGGAGAGCAGAGCTGGGAAGAACATGTGGGAGGGCATGACACACCAGGACACCAGCCTCTCGTGCACCTCATTTGGCCACTTCCTGCAGGTGGTACCCCGAATCGTCCATTATGGGGTTGTCGCGGCTTCAAAAGAAATATGTTGGCATGGGTATCTCGGAGTACTGGCAGAGCAGGGCATCATAATAGCAAGAATAGAGCTTGGTCCATACGTGTCACAGAGTGGGTGGCAATGCGCCACCAGGCGTCTCAAGTTGCCTACACACAGACAGATTACCTCGCGCATGAATGCGCGCACGCGTGCGCACGCACATGCTTATGTTCAGGACTGCACGCCCCCAAACAAATCTGATGTAATGGTCATATATACCATCCGTGCGAACTCACCGCGAAGTACCATCACTGATGCACTGCAGGGCCGTGCCAACGTGAGCAGCTTCACGCGAAGAGCACGCATGCGCAGCAGATGTTTCATTTCACTGGTACCAGGGTGGGGCGAGTTGTCAGATGAACATCACTCCTCCGTCCCCCCACTCCCGCTCCCCGTCGCCCAAGAGGGATTTAGAGGGGGAAAGAACTGCATAACCGGACACGTTCGGATCTGCACGCGGATTTCCTGGATCGGCGGAGCCAGAGGCCTTGCCAAAGGGCCTAGCTCCGAGCCGAGAGATGTTTATGCTTATTTCATTGATTGCTTCTGTGAGGCTCGGAATCTCCAAGACGGCCTTCCGAACCCTCCCTTGGTTGGGTTCTCGTTTTGAACAGAGCAGTGCGATCCCCACCTCTTCCTCCTCCTCATCCCGCCTCCCTCCTCCCCGCCTCCCCTTCATACACTCCCCTCAGCCCCCTCTCTTTCCTGTTTAGTCTTCCTCTCCCTCGACGAGACCGCTCCCTCGTCGAGACCTCGCGGGCCCGCGGGGCTGCAAAATGCGAAACTGTTGCCACTTTCGTGGGCTCCTGGGAGGTCCAACGGAGTGGAGGTCCACGCGGACCCAGCCTAGACCTTGAGGCTCCCTAGGGGGCTGCGAACCGTGCAACTGTCACAACTTTCGTGGTCTCCTGGGAGGTCCAACGGAGTGGAGGTCCACGCGGATCTGCCGGGACCCCGCAGCTCCCTGGCGGGCTGCGAACCGCGCAACTGTCGTGGGCTCCTGGGAGGTCCAGCGGAGTGGAGGTCCACGCGGATCTGCCGAGATCTCACAGCTCAGTGGGAGGCTGCGACGGACCGCCCAACTGTCGCCACTCTCGTGGGCTCCTGGGAGGTCCAGCGGAGTGGAGGTCCACGCGGATCTGCTGGGACCCCGCAGCTCCCCGGGGGGCTGCGACGAACCGCGCAACTGCCACAACTTTCGTGGGCTCCTGGGAGGTCCAGCGGAGTGGAGGTCCACGTGGATCTGCCGAGACCTCGCGGGCCCTGGGGGCGGTTCCGAACCGCGCAACTGGCCTCCATTTCGTGGGCTCTTGGGAGGTCCAGCGGAGTGGAGATCCACGCAGGCCCAGCCTAGACCTTGAGGCTCCCTGGGGGGCTGCGAAGTGCGCGTCTTCCATGATGTTCGTTTGTGTTGAGCGGTCCGCACAATAGCTGCCCCGTGTTAGAAAATTGTTGGGTACGTCACTCTTTGAGGCTCGGAATCTCCAAGGCGGCCAAAGACCGCCCAAGAAGGCTCCAACACGCCACCAAGACCTGCACGGACGTCTCGGGGATGGCCCAAGCGAGCCTCCTCGGGAGAGCGCTCGGCATCGCAGCGCGCCCAAGACGGCCCCTTGACCGACCCAACCAATTGACTGACCAGGAAGCTGGACACAGCACGGCCAACTCTCAAATGCGGAACACGCGCATGGCACGCGCTGGGTCTGCCCAGCACGAGCGCGATGCCACGGCGCGATTGGCTCGGCATGCATCCCAGGAGCTCCCCAACGTTCCGCGGCTCTCGTCGCTGCAGCCTGTGTCCGGCTCTCGCCCTGGCCAGCCGCGCCCTGGCGACCGACTCCAGAGATCCCGAGCGGGCGTTGGCAGAGCTGGGTTTACTGGGACCTGGTTTAGTGCTGTGTACCGCGGGACGCCTCCCCCGCCCCGTTCCTCTAACCGGAGTTGCCGTCACCCGAAAAAAACACCAGCTACGGCAGACCTGGTGCAGTGATTCTGGCCAAATGAGGGGCCCGGGGGCCCTACCACTAACCGGGTCCGCTTACCTGGGATCCTGAGGCTATACCCGACCTGATGGTACGCCGAGCCCGCGCGGATTTCTTGGATCCGCGCCAGGCCCCCCTCCCTGGCGCGCGGAGCGCGCCAGGGGCGGCACCGGAGGCGCCGCCGGGCGGGCCCCAGCGCGGATCCAAGAAATCGGCGCGAAGCGCCAAAAGTTTACGTTCATACAATTTTTTCTTCTTCGATGTCTGAAGAACTCCTCGGGCTTCCGCTGGGTGTCCGTCGGCTTCTGCCGGAAGGGCCGCCCCCTGTTTTACTTCCGCAATCTCCCCCCAGGCCCTCCGCTTCCGCCGAGAGAGCGACGCCAGCCTCGACGACGACGACGACGACGCCGACGCCGACGCCGACGACGACGACGCCGACGCCGACGCCGACGCCGACGCCGACGCCGACGCCGACGACGACGGCGACGGCGACGGCGACGACGACATGAGCGCGGCGGAGCGCAGGCCGCTCAGCGCCTGCCCCGGAGTGAGGCCCTGCACCCTGACGCTGCGCCTGCCAGGCTCCACCCTTCCTCCTCGTGGGCAAGTCCTGCTCCTTCAGCCTTCCTCCGCGTCCCGTCTCCCCCTTCCCCCGCTCAACTTATGCCGTCTCTCCCACCGTGCCTCCTGGCATGTTGGGGCGTGAAAGAATGCCAGGTGCCGTCTGGCAGGGCTTCTGTAATTTTGTGGGGGGCCCACCCGCCCCTCTCATCGCGCCCAGTCGTGTGCACCACACCAACTCCTGGGGACACAATCCCTCCCCAAATGCGACAGGGTCGCACTCCCAAGGCCCAGCCGCAAGACGGCCCAGTATCGCTCCAAAAAAAACACTCTGGCCTCAAGACGGCCCAAGATGACTTCAAGACGGCCCAACGTGCCGTCGAAGCGTCCCCGGAGCCTTCCCAAGAGAGCCCCAGAGAGGCCAAAACTGTTGGTTTCCATAATCCTTCCATGCGTTTCGGGTGCTCGCTTTGTCGAGCTTTCGACGTCCCCAAACGACCCAAGAGAGGCCACCAGGACTGCCCCAACAGGCCACCAGCAGGGCCCCAAGATGGCCCAAGAGGGCCCCAAGACGGCCCCAAGAAGCGCCCGAGAGTGGGACACACGAGCCACGAAGTCGCCGAGCCGTCTGCCCCCAGAGGGCCCCCAGCGCCCAGCAGGCCCCCATTGACTTCTCGAGCAGCCGCCACCCAGAATCGGGTGCTGCTGGGAGTGCTCCTGGCCCAGGGTGCCCCCCCCCCCCTTCTCGTTGAATCTTGGAGCCCCTGGCTCCCTCTGGATCTCGTGAGGGGTGCCCTGGAGGCCGCGGGGGCCTCCGCGGAAAAAATCCTGGGGGCAGCGTGGGCCAGGGGCACTTCTGGCAGCGCCCGACGGAAGACTGCGCTGGCGCGGTGGCGGCACTGCCGCGGGCAGCTGGATTGGTCTATATAACCTCATGCCCGTGAGAATAAACACTAGGGGATAATAAAGTTCGGGGTTCAGGGAGAGATAATAAAAGTAGCCCAGCAGACCTCAGCATAATCTCGAAGTAAGAGATGATCAAGAGGAGACCAAGCCGAGCACGTTTTGAGACATCCTTGGCGTTTAGTTTTCATAGAAATATCCTCAACAATGGCTTATCTCTCATGAAAATTGTTTTTTGTAAGTGCTCGTGTAGGGTAGCTCATGTGCCTCAATTTCCATGGATAATCAACCCCAGAGATAAAAAAGTTCAGGCGAGCGTGGGGACAGAGAGAAATATAAAAGAAGAAGAATACAGTAGAATAATAATAAGAAAGGAAGAAGAAGAGGATAATAAGAAGAGGACGAAGAAAGGAAAAATCCAAAGTTCCAAATCTATCAATTTTAATTTACAAACGCTTTATGAACATTGATTTTTTTAAGTGCTCGTGTAGGGTAGCTCATGTGCTTCATTTTCCATGGATAATCAACCCCAGGGATAAAAAAGTTCAGGCGAGCGTGAGGACAGATAGAAATATAAAAGAAGAAGAGGAAAGTAGAATAATAATAAGAACATTGCTCGTTTCGTTTGAGTCTGCCTCCCAAAATTATTGGTTTCGCTTGACACATCCTGAAAAAGTGTGATCGCTTCGCTTGATGTTGCTATATCAACATCGCTTGATGTTGCTATCTCAACATAGCGTTTCGAGGTGATAATGAAGTTCGGCCTCAGCGCTCGCCGCCCAATTTGAATTTTGTATAGGGCGACGATAATCAACTCTAAACACTGAAGGGGGGGTCCCTTTAAAATCGGCATGCGGTTATATATATACACACCTAAAACCTTTATGCATATACATATATACATATACACATATATACATATATACATATATACATATATACATACATACATATATATATACATATATATATATATATACACTGTCGGGAACGCTTGCTTAGCGTATCGCTGTGGCGGCCCGGCGATACTCGATTCGGGCGTTGGCAGACTTGGGTTTAGTGGAACCTAGTTTGGTGCCGTGTCCTGCGGCACGCCTCCCCCGCCCCGTTCCTCTGACCGGAGCTGCCGTCACCCGAAAAAAACAACAGCTACGGCAGACCTGGTTCAGTGATTCTGGCCAATTCAAGGGCTCCGGTGAGAAGGCGAAAACCCACCCCCACCCCCAGTCCCGACCCCATCCCCGAACCCGCGATTCAAGGAGTCGGGACTGGGGTTGGGGGTGGGTTTTAGGAGTCCAGGAACGGAGAAAACCCGCCCCCACTCCCGGTCCCGACCCCTGGAATTGCCGGCTCGGGGATGGGCGTCGGGACAGGGGTGGGGCTGGGTTTTCGCCTCCCGATCCGGGGCCCTACCACTGGCCGGGTCCCCTCACCTGTGGTCCTGGCTATACCCGACCTGAGGGTACGCCGAGCCCGCGCGGATTTCTTGGATCCGCGCCAGGCCCCCCTCCCTGGCGCGCGGAGCGCGCCAGGGGCGGCACCGGAGGCGCCGCCGGGCGGGCCCCAGCGCGGACCCAAGAAATCGGCGCGGAGCGCCAAAAGATTACGTTCATGCCATTTGTTCTTCTTCGATGTCTGAAGAACTCCTCGGGCTTCCGCTGGGCGTCTGTCGGCTTCTGCCGGAAGGGCCGCCCCCTGTTCTACTTCCGCAATCTCCCCCCAGGCCCTCCGCCGGCTTCCGCCGGCTTCCGCCGAGAGAGGGGCGGGCAATTGAAGGGCTCCGGGGCCCTACCACTGGCCGGGTCCCCTCATCCGGGGTCCTGGCTATACTCCAGATTTCGTGATAAAGGGAGGGGGGTCTCATTTCGGGGGGGGGTCTCTTCCAGGCTATCTTGGGGGGGCCTCTGGGGGGTCCGGGGACGATATGTTTTGGAGGGTGCTCCCACGGGGGAGGTCTGAAGTGGCTCGTCTTGGAGGGTCCAGACCCCCCCCCCCTCCCTTTTAGTACGACATCTGCTATGCCCGCTCCGTGCCCTGCACCGCGGCCAGAGCGTGTCGCTCCCGCTCCGCGCGGCGGGGCGCTCTCCGTAGGGAGCCCACAAAGGACGTACGCGCCCAGCTATGTACATGAACACGGCCTCTTGACCCGCGAGACCTGCCGCGCGATGCGAACATTCGCGCAATGCGAACTCTCGAAACCAGCGTGGATTCATGTACATGTACGTCCTTCTTTCGCTCCTGACTCCGGGAGGAGCGCGGGGCGTCGGCGCCCCTGGGGAGATCGGGAGGCGCTCTCGGCGTGCCGCGCCGAGGCACGGCGGGGGGCCGCGCCGGAGCGCGGCACGCTGCTGCCGCCTGCGAGGGGCGGCGATGGGCTCGCCATCGCTCGGGCGTCCATGCCCTGTGTTTTTTTTTGATGGTTTCGTGCGTGGGTTTTTGTCGCCAGATGATCGAGGATGCGCCTCGATGGCCCTCGCCGGAGGAAAAATGCACACGTCCGAGCGATGCCAAGTAGGGGGGGGAGAGGCATACAGAAGGGGCGTTGACCTAAGGAACCCTCAATAAGGAGCGAGGCCCCTTTGTTCCCATAAGTTACACTTCGATGTCCCATCGGAACCCTGAGCAAAAGAAGAGGCGAGCTGCAAAACAACCAAGGAACACCGAGCCCCTCCCCAAGGAAAAGGGTTCCTTCTTCAGGGCCCCGACTGTAGGGGGGGATGCGTCGACCTGGAATCGGCGATACGTCGCCGACAGATCGGCGATATAAGCTCCCGATCGTGAATCCGTACCTTCCCGGACGGGGTGGAGCGCTATCGGGTCCCCATCGGCGATCAAGGGGCGATTGGGCATCGATGCCTTTCCCCCCCTTCTCGTTGCCCCTGAACTTGCCGCCTAGCCGACTGCTGCCCCCACATCCGTGGGGTCCCATCCTACATGCCGTCTAAGGGGTGGCTCTCAGCGTGGAGGCGCTGTCGCCCACGCCGCGAGGTGCGCGGTGGGGATGGGGCCGGGCGCCCATCCCACACTAGCGGGCGGAATGTCGCTCGCCTCGGCGCCGCGCTCCTTTCGGCGGCGACGATATGGGCGAATAGCCCAGGGGCGGGCATTGCACGCATTCGCCCGGGAGCCTTCTCGAAGACACGCATCATCGGCGCACCTGAATACACGTATTGCTCTTCCTTCTGGGCTATTCGCCCATATCGTAGCCTCTGCTCACTGATTCTGAAAAATGAGCTCCCGGCCGGGCGCGGCGCACGTGCTTCGCGCGCCGGCTCGTCGACGCGAGAGCGGACGAGCTTGCCGCTCCCGCCCGGGCGCCGCGCAGCTTTCGCCCGAAGAGGGGCGTTCCCGCGCCGGCGCGGGACAGAGCTGTCACCCGCTTGGGGTGTTAGAATCCCCGCGCGAGCGGGCGACGTGGCGCCCTCGCCCGGCTCCGTGCACGCTCCGCTCGGCAGTGGCGCTCCCGCGCGGGCGGGGCACCTGTCTCGTAGTACGCCGAGTGGCGTGACAGCGCGGCAGCGGCAGGGGGGCCGCGCGAGAAGAGCGGGCCCCATCGCCGCGCAGCTCGCGCACGAGAGTGGCAGTGCTGTTTCGGCGCGGTGCACGCTTCGGTGTCGCCGCGCTCATCGGAAGTTCTGCCGCTCCCACCCCTGCGAGGACAGTGCAGTCTTTCCCTTCGCCAAGTCGTCGGGAATGGGACCGCGAGCGAGCGCCGTCCGTTCGTAGGCGGGAACGCGTTCCAACCCCCAAACCAAGTTGTGCCAGAATCGATTGCTATGTTATGGGAGGGAGGGCGGGAATGATCGACCTGGCTCCCTTGATCTTACCCTCTCTCCTACTCATCTCTCCTCCTGCCCCCCCATCCCTCCAGCTTCCCTCCTCTCTTCCACTCCTCCCTCCGCCATTTCCTCCTCCTCCGCTTCCTGCTCCTCCTCCTCCTCCTTCGCATCCTCGCCATCTCTTTCTCATGAACAGCTTCCCGTTGCCTCACCAGCAGACGTGTCGCTACTGTGGACCTGGCGTCTCACCTGAGGTCCCGCTCGTTTGGGGATCTGCCCAAACATATCAGGGCTGAAACTAAACTTTGTTGTTCGTATATTTGTCGTTTTGTTGTTCGTTTTGCTCTACCTGTTTTCCTGTACCTCCCTGCCAGCACGAAGAACAAAACACAGCCGAAGTCCAGCAAAACATCGTTTAGGTCCAGCCCTGATTCATGTTGCAACCGCCGCATGCTCGAATCCTGAACTCGCGATCCTCGCGCCTTCTGATCCTGAAGGGCGGGACGGCTTTCCCCACCGCGTCGCGCGTTCCCGCTCGACAGCAGTCACCCTGCGTGCGGACGGAGGGCTCCCTCGGGAGCCCTGGAGCGCCTCTTGGGGTCCTCCCCGAGGCCATCGATCGAAGGAGGGATCCACCCGATCGAGGTCCCTCCCCCCTACCCTTGGCGGTCACAATCCTCGTGCTCGCCATCGCTGTGGACATCCATTCCCCGTGCATGTTTCGATCTCGTGCGTGTCTTCTTTTTTTGTTCGCTGGATGATCAAAAGGTGCTCCTCGATGGCCCCCGCCGAGAGAAAATGCACACGTCCGAGCGATGCCAAGCGTGAGGGCTGCCGCTCGCCTCAGCACCGCGCACCCATCCGTCCCCGCGAGGCCTCTCCGCGAAGGCTGCGCGGGCGGAGGGCGCTCGCCTTCGGTCCGAGACCTCCGCTCACTGCGGACCTGCAGAGGTCGCGGCAGGTCGGCTTCGACTGCAGTCTCAGACCGGCGGCTGGGATCACACAAATGTGTATGTTTTTACTTTTTATTTTTCTTCTTTACCCACGATGAAGACGCAGCCGCTAAGGCCCATTAAACTCGACCTCGGGGTGAAGAGCTCCCCTGACTCTCGGCGGAAGCCGAAGGTCTTATGCACACTATGGTACCAGTCCTCTATGAGATCACACAAATGTGTGGGGACCTCCTGCAGATCGTAGCAGGGGCAGGAGATCTCTGCAGGTCGGCCTCGACCGCCGTCGAGGTCGAGGGGGATTGTGTCTTGCGCTCGCTGGAGGGCGCACGTGGTGCACCGATGGAGGGCGGCGCCTCCTCGAATACCGGGGCTCCCACGCGAGAGGCTCGCAGGCTCGAAAATAGAGGTGGATCGGGCAATGGCGGACCAGCAGCGGTGCCGGAGGGTGGCTCCTTTACAACGGAAGGGGCTCTCGCGTGATGCGGTCTGGAAGCGCCGTGCGGCGATCCTGCGCCTGGATGGTCTGAGAGTTGCAGAGACGGAATGCGCAACATGTTCTCTCGCCTGCTAGTTGGCCTCAAAAAAAAGCTTCCCCTGGAAACGCGCAAGAGACCCTCTCAATATGACTCAGGCCCAATCGACGCCGATACGCAATCATATTGCTGGATTGGCATCCCGCCCGGGATGTATGTGAATCCTACCTTCATGGGTGGGATAATACATTTATTTCCGAACTAAAACTAGTTGGTTTCTACGGAGCGAGATCCTGGCTGGACCACGCAAGAGGAGAGACTTGCTAGGCTTCTGGGGGGGTAGGGGGTTCAGTGCCTCCTGAGCACCCGTCTCCCAGAGGGCTGCCGTCGCGGTGGCCTCGTGTCTGTGAGCAGCATGTGCACTCGGACACACTCAAGAAAGTTCGAAGAACGCCTGGCACTGCGATGTGTATTGAGCAGGGGCCGACCGTCCCGGCATTCCTATATGCCTACCACGAAGTGCTCTTAAAACCGAAAGCATGTTCTAATAACAAACAATGTTCTTATAACATCAGCCAGATGTGTTAAACAAGTTCGGCCCGCATAGGATTGGGACACTTCGTGCAGAACACAAAAGGTGCGTATACCATTCTTTGGAGGGCCTATAGGCAAGCCAGGACGCTTCGCAACTGCTCGAGTACGGCAGGTCCATGGCGCACTCGTCTTTCACACGGGCGCTCCCCGCAGCGAAACATGATACCTGCGGGGCCTTCTGCGGAGGGACTTGGCACAGGAGGGTGGTTGGCAGAATTGCTGGCGATGTATCCTTAGGAGGCAACTACTGGGAGGTCTTCATCGGAAAGATTTAAAAGAATCAAGCCCAGTTGGGAGGCTGTGACGCCACAGTAGGCCGCGGATACAGCGGGACGAAGCCGGATTCAGCGGGATTAAGCCAGATTAAGCGGGATTAATTAGAATTAAACGGGATCACGCCGGATCCAGCCAGATCTCGGACCAGGGCTAAATCAGAATTTGACGCCTCAGGAGCTGCATCCGAAGAGTGCTGTGCTCATTCGGATGTTCCTGCTCCACCTCCTCCTCTTCCTCCTCCTCCTCCTTCTCCTCCCTCGTCTTTTGAAGTCTGGACCCCCCTCGAAGCATCCTGCGGAGGACGACGATGACGAGTGCACGAGCACGGAGCGGGGGAGCGAACGACGCAGCGACAGGGGAGAGGACACCCAAGGCTGCAGGGGGCGGCGAGGCGTGCTGAGCTCTCGCGCCCATGCGCTGGCATCCCTGCCTGCGCTCGTGCTCCTGGGCTTCCTCATCGTGCTCGTCCGCGTGCACGCCCTGCTAGGGAAAGCTCTGGCGGCGAGCTCCCAAGCCAAGGCAAGCACTGAGGGGGGAAATGGACAACTGGGGAGAAGGCCACGACGCTGTCCTCTCCAGCCTCCCCCTTCCGCCATCGAGGATAACCTTCGGAGGCTTAGAAATGGGCACCAACACCAATGCCGAGGGTTGCCTCTACCAGGGAAGGGTGATCCTAGATTGTGGTGTTGGTGGTAATATTTCGGCCACCTTGGAAGCCCGAATATTACCACCATCACCGAGATCGGGATCATCTTTCCCCGGTGGAGGCACATCGCCGAGATTGGTGTTGGTGTCAACCTTTGGGCCTCCGATACCCTCCTCCTCCTCCGCCTCCTCCTCCTCCTCTTCCTCCTCCACTTCTATTCCTCTTCCTTATAAAGAACTTCTCCCTGTCTGACCCCGAAGCACATTTTTAGGGCGGGCCGGGCGTTTCTGAGACTTCCTCACACCTAATGACCCTGAAGCTGAAAAAGCGACAACAGCTTCACAGATGGAGGACAGGTCGTTTTCAGAATGTGGCTCTCGCCTTAGCGCCGCGCACATTCGTTTTTGATGAATTGCAAGAGCTTCACGGATTGAGGGCGGGTCGTTTTCAAAATGTGGCTCTCACCTTAGCGCCGCGCACATTCTTTCAAGCATGCAAGAGTTTCACGGATTGAGGGCGGGCCGTTTTAAAAATGTGGCTCTCGCCTTAGCGCCGCGCACATTCGTTTTTGACAAATTGCAAAAGCTTCACGGATTGAGGGCGGGTCGTTTTCAAATGTGGCTCTCGCCTTAGCCCCGCGCACATTCGTTGAAAAAGGTTTCAAGAGCTTCACGGATTGAGGGTGGTTCCTTTTCAGAATGTGGCTCTCGCCTTAGCGCCGCGCACATTCGTTTAAAGGTTTCAAGAGCTTCACGAATTGAAGGCGGCTCCTTTTCAAAATGTGGCTCTCGCCTTTGCGCGGCGCACATTCGTTTTAAATATTTGCAAGAGTTTCGCGGATTCCCATGGTCAACATACCAGAAATGCGAGTGCAACAGTTATGCTGACTCGCGGTGCTGAAGTTCCCAAAACGGCATTCTGGCACGATTCCAGATCGCCACGACGGAGCAGTCAGTTTAATCCGTGGCGTTGAAATCCCGACAACAATCTTTTGGCATGGTTCCGGACCTCCATACGGTTGTCTTCCAACGAGGCAGTTCCCTCAATGGAGATGAACCGTTGTAGGGGCCTATGGGGAGGGAGGGTCAATTCCAGCCTCGTTTATGACTCTTGGGTTTGCAATGGTCCTCCTCCTCCTCCTCCTCCTCGACCTCTCCATTCCTTCCCACCTTTCTTTCTCCCCTCCCTGGTCGCCCCGATTCGGCTTCATGGCCCCGTCCCGCCTCTCCCGCCGGGCCGCCCTCCGACCTCTCCGCCTGCGGAGAATCTCCCTGCTCTCCTGGCCCTTCGAACCCCGAGCCCCGCTGTACTGCCACTCCTCCTCTCGCCATCGCTCGGACGTCCATTCCTCGTGTATGTTTCGGTATCGTGCGCGTTTTTTTCGCCAAATGATCAAGGATGGTCCTCGATGGCCGTCGCCGAAAAAAAATGCACACGTCCGAGCGATGCCAAGTCCTGCCTGGCCTCCGCCGTCCTCCTCGCCTCCTTTGCCCTTCCAGGCTCTTGCCCGTGCCCCCGGGGCCGCAGGGCGACGATGGCATCGGGCACCGGCCAGATCGGAGGAGGAACCGCGCCTCCACAGGGGGGTCGGATCCCTACCCCCCTCGCCGCGCAGGGGGACTGCCCGCGCCGCCCAGACAGATCGGAGGGGGAGGAGGAGGAGGAGGATGACGAGGACGAGGACGAGGAGGAGGAGGAGGAGGAGGAGGAGGAGGAGGAGGAGGAGGAGGAGAGACGAGGGGGAAGAGGGAGACAAGGGCCCGCTGTCCTCCTCCTGCTCCCCCTCCCCCCCCTCCCCGCGCCCCCCGCGCCCCGCGTGTCCGTCCCCGCCCGCTGCAGAACACGCCTGGCTGCCCTTGGCCTCAGCGACAGCGCGAAGCAGCGGAGGGCGAGCTTGCTCCGCTGGTACATGCCGAGCCCGTAGATGGCAAACCTGCCCCCCCCGACCCTCTGTGCTTGTGGATGCCATGCCAATGGGCACTCGAACCGCTCTATCATTGTTTTCACGAAGTAGTTCAAACAGCTTCTACATGTTTAAAGCATGGGTCAAGCATGCTTAAACCATATTTTAAACATGCTTAAACACGTTTTAGAAACATGGTTCAAACATGTTTTGGACCCCTGGCAATCCTTTGGCAATCTGCCTCCTCTCCATTGATCGTCTTCCGCAACGCTGTGCCTTGCCCGAGCCCTTCCGAAGCCGGCGCTGGGCCGACGCATGCCTCGGCCACCCTTCCGGTGAACGGTGGCGCGCCCCCGCCAGCGAGCCTGCAAAGGTCGCGCCGTGCCCCCTCGCCACCCCCTGACTTTGTTGCGGGCCGCCTCCCGAGCCACGAGTCGCTGGCCACAGGCCCTCCCCCTGGACTGCTGCCAGAATGAGGACGTCCAGCCTCAATGCTCCGACTACATCGGCGCCGACCAGGCCCTCGGGGCGCTCCTTCTCATCAGGAATGGGGCGGGGTGCGTTCCCGCAAGCCGCCAACGCCGCCCCCTTCAAAACGAAAACATGATTTGCAGCGCGCGCGCGCTCTGTAGCCTGGGCGGATGCCCCTGAATACCAAGCCTGAACGGCACTACTGTTTTACATCTGAAACCCAAGCCCAACTTATATACATACATATATATATATATACACATTTTGTTGTAAATGTGTACATCTATGGAATGGCACGATGATGTGTACTTTTCGACCCCTCACACACCCAAGGAGAATGCTGATCCGCCCCTCGGCGAAATGAGTGTTGAATGTTCGGGCACCGCGCTCCCGCACTTGTGACGGGGTGACTATTCTCAATCCCTGCTCTTGGGCCGTTTTTGGGCCCCAGCGCAATCAACATTTGATACTAGGCGAAGTAGTCGGGAACTCACGCATAGGAACAAACACACATCGGCGGAATACACGGTCATGCTTCAGGAAACTCCTGGAGGCCCTCGGGAGAAGCTCCATGGTCCGTCGAGGTTCCCACATGCCACTGCAGTCCCAGCCTGTTTTCTTGAAGGCCCCTGGGGCCCAAACGATGGCTGAAGGCCCTTGAAAGCGTCAGGAGGCCGCATGGAGGTACTTGGAGCTCTGGGGAGATGTGGTTCGGTTCCGCACGCAGGTTCTCGGAGGCCCCTTGCGTGATCAACCGAATTGGTGGGCAACACTGCGCAGCAAGGCAGACTAAATATAACATAAATGAGAATCCAAAAAAGAAGGGGTGGCGCTCTCCTAAAGAAAAGCCATCGTAAATCCAGCACACAACTGAAGCAAATGCGAGCTGCACAGCCAAGCCACACGCAAACGTAAGGGAACTAGCCTCCATCGAGCATGGAGCTGAATTCGAGCTGAGGTCATGAAAAAAGACTAACAGAACAAGCAAACTGAACATCAGACTGACGGCAAACCAACTGGCAGGTATATCAAGCCGAAGGCGCACTAATGCGAGACGCACTGAACAGGCAGCCTGGGCAAGCGAAAGCTGGAGGCGAGCCGAGAAAAGCAAAACCAAAAACAACGTAGCAGCCAACTCCCGAGGCACGGCTTGCACCACGGGGGCACTCAAGCATTTGTGCTTCTGAGCAAGCGTTGGGTCGGGCATGTCCTCCTACAGGCGGAATTTGACGGAAAAATGAGAATGCCCACAACATATTCCCAAACATAAGAACATGCTCAAACAATCGTGCCCCGGCCTATTTTTAAACATGTCTTCGACTGTTCCCCCTGTAGAGGGACATGCCCGACTTGAAGCAAAGCGTGAGCCTGCCGCGGTTCCACCCTGGCCATCGCTCGGACGTCCATTCCCTGTGTTTTTGTTCGGTTTCGTGCGTGGCTTTTTCGCCACATGATCAAGGATGCTCTTCGATGGTCCTCGCCGAAGGAAAAAAAAAAAAAAAAAAAAAAAAAAAAAAAAAAAAAAAAAAAAAAAAAAAAAAAAAAAAAAAAAAAAAAAAACGTCCGAGCGATGCGAAGCACCTGCATGTGCGGCCCGAGCGCCTCGTGGGCGCCCCATTGCGCGCTGCCTCTGGGCCTGGCTCCGCCGAGGCCCCGCCCCGTGGGCGGCGTCGCCCCGTGTGAGGGCTCCTGGCGCCGCCTGTGCGGCAGGAGCTCGTCCACGAGAGACCCTCGAAAAGAAACCCACCCTCCTCCTCCTCCTCCCCCTCCTCCTCGCCTCCTCCTCCTCCTCCTCCTCCTCCTTCCTCCTCCTCCTCCCCCCTCCCCCTCCTCCTCCTCTCCTCCTCCTCCACCTCCTCCTCCCCTCCTCCTCCTCCTCCCCTCTCCCCCTCCCCCTCCCCCTTTCCTCTCCTTCCTCCTCCCCTCCTCCTCCTCCTCCTTCTCCTCCACAAGAAACCCAACCCTGAGCCTTCCGCCGCCTTCTGTTGAGCTTCCGCCGGCTTCCGCCGGCGGAGGCGGCCTCGTTTTACTTCCGCCGCCCTTCCGCCGCCTTCCGCCGAGGAGGGCATGACAACTCCTTCGATACTCGAAGACAAGGCACTTTGTGGAACGCCGCATGTGTTTGCATACGGTGGGGGCCCGACCACAAGAAACCCTCCACAAAAAACCCAACCCTGAAACCCCAGGAAGTCCATAGCTTCTTGGTGTGGGAACGTCGGGCTCTCCCACCGCAAGACCGTCGAAACCCAAGAGATGCCCAGGGCGCCCTGGAGGCAAGCATGGGTGCCTCTTGGCATGGGTCCCCGCTGTACCTGCCGAGATGTCGCCGGGCGGCCGGGGGTCTGCAGAGAGGCTCCGCCCGGTGGGCGACCGTGGGCACACCTCGCGGGCGGGCTGCTCGCGCCGGCTGGATCGCAGCCGAGGCTTCGCCTAGGTGGGCGGGGCGCCCCGTGGGCGCCCCCTCGGCGCGGGCCGTATCTGCTGAGGTTTCGCCTGGTCAGCGTTTTCTTATTCGGCGTTTCGACATTCGGCGGAAGGGGAGGGGGGGCGAGGGGTCTGGTTTTGGACCTCTGCTCAGCGCGACTGCTTGCAAGAGTGCGTCCTGCGGAGGAGACCCCTCCTGCCTGAAGCAGGCGCCGCGCCAAGAACAGCCAAGATCTACCCCACGGGGGGGGAGGGGGAGGGGGTAGGAGGGCCCGCGCCGATCGGCAAAACAACGAACAAGAAAACGATCGTCCTCCTCCTCCTGCTCCTCCTGCTCCTCCTGCTCCTCCTGCTCCTCCTGCTGCTCCTCCTCCTCCTCCTCCTCCTCCTCCTCCTCTTCCCCCTCCTCCTCCTCCTCCTCCTCCTCCTCCTCCCTCCTCCTCCCTCCTCCTTCTCCTCCTCCTCCTCCTCCTCCTCCTCCTCCTCCCCCTCCTCCTCCTCCTCCTCCCTCCTCCTCGTGGGCGGCCGTGGGCGCGTGGTGGGCGCCCCTTTGCGCTGGGTCTGGGTCTGCCGAGGCTCCGCCTTGTGGGCTGCCGCGGGCGCCTGGCGGGCGCCCCGTGCGCTGGGTCTGGGTCCGCTGTGGGCGGCCGTGGCCGCCTGGTGTTAGATGCTCATTCTGGGGACCTTCCTGGAGCCACTCGCTCCACTCGTGCGTCGAAGCTGCGTCGAAGCTGCGTCGAACCTGAGTCGAACCTGAGTCGAACCTGAGTCGAATCTGAGTCGAATCTGTGTCGAACCTGAGTCGAACTTGAGTCGAACCTGGGTCGAACAGATCCATTAGGTGGGCCCCAGGAAGGTCCCCAAAACGAGCATCGAACTGGTGGGCTCCTCGTGCAGCTTTTTTGGTTGCGTGGCTTGCGTCGCTCGGCTTGCACTGCAGTCGGGGCGCTGACCCAAGGAACCCTCGATAGGGAACGAGGCCCTTTTTTCCAACAGTTGGTCTTCGATTCCCCATGGAAGCCCTTCGGGAAACCCAAGGTAAACTGCACAACAAACAAGGAACGCCGAGCCCCTCCCCAACAAAAAGGGTTCCTTCTTCAGCGCCCCGGCTGTATGTTGCTTCCATCGTATTTGAGGACCACATCCCAGAAGTAATGTCGAGCACCCGGAAAAAGTGTCGAAAGAGTATCGAAAGAGTGCCGACACAGTGTCGGACGAGCGTCTCCCAGAGCCCGACGCGTGAAAACCCTCGAATGTTGGTACTTTTTTGGAGTTCGGAATTTTTTCTGGTGATCAAGGTAAAGTAGGTTGGAACATCTTAAAGCTTGCACCGCTTTGCTGACACCGCGAAGCTTGCACCACACTGCTTGCACAACATGGCTTGCACCAGCCAGCTTGCACTGCACACAGCGTGCACCACACATAGCTTGCAGCACGCATAGCTTGCACCACGTGGATTGCACGGCGAAGTGCGAAAACTCACCGCTTTTTTTACGCTGGCGAACATACACGAGGAAGGCGCGCTGAAAACATACAACAAATACACAAGAGGAAACACCATATCAATATCAAATATACTATACTGTATGGCATAGCGGGGGGAAACGAAATAATGAAACAGGCATTAAGCAATGCACAGAGAAAGAGGAGAGAGAAAGAGAGAGAGAGAGGAACATAAAGAGAGAGAGAGAGAGAACAAAAAAAGGGAATGAGAGAAGGAGGGATATTGCATAACACGGGCAAACATCATACATAACGAATACACAGTGTATTACGTATCAAAAAGACAGATATAAGGAACTACCCAAAAAAGATGGACAGAGAGAGAGAGGGAGAGAAAGGAAGAATGGAATGCAAAACAGAGAAAGAGGAGAGTGCATCACACGGAGGACAAATGTCAGCATCAGAAGAGAGCGATAGAGAGAGAGAGAGAGAGCAAACAAATAAGGAGAGACAGAGAGAGTAAACAGAAAATCAAAAAAAAAAAAAAACGAGAGAGAGAGAGAGAGGGGGCGCCCACCGACAGCCGCTCGCCGAGAGCCGCCCGCCGAAATCGGCCAGATCCTTTCTCGAATCTCGTGTGCGGGGGCGCCCACCGGAAGCCGCCCACCGAGAGCCGCCCACCGAGATCGGCCCGCTTCTTCCGCCAGTCTCTTCCGAGGACAGCACAACCCACCCCCACCCCCACCCAGGGCACCCACCTCCGACCTGGTGATCCAGGGTGCCCTGGGTGGGGGTGAGGGTGTGTTTCTGGGCCCCGCGGCTCTTACAACCCACCCCCACCCCCACCCGAGGCACCCTGGACCACCAGGTCGGAGGTGGGTGCCCTGGGTGGGGGTGGGGGTGGGTTGTGCTGTCCTCATCTTCTATGCCCGCTGGGACCCCGCCAGTGTAAACGCTGATTGGGGAACGATCTCCACAAGCAAGCCAAGGCCACGCCGAACGCGACCACACCGCAAGCTTTTTCGGTCGCGGCCGCGAGACAAGGGTCAGGCGGCGAGAGCAAAGTCCGGGGCACGAGCGAGGACCACACTGCAAGCGCGCAGGGGCCCGTGAGGACGCATCCCGCAAAAGCAGAAAGGGAGGGGGGCGGCGCCCCCGCGCCCCCCCCGTGGGAGATGCATCGGGAACCTGTCCGTGATAATAGGGGGCGCGCCATTGGGGAGCAGTTTGGGCGGTGCTGAACCGACCTGCTGCCCAAGTAGTGTCAGCTTGTGGCCGATAGAAACACGCGGGGCGTGCGATCAAGCAACGATCCCCCTGCTCGGACGAATCGCGGGGGTGACGCGCGCCAGAGTGAAACACACGGCGGCAGCGCCGGTGATTAGCACCCACGCCCGGCCGCCAGCGAGAAGGCGGCAGGAGCAGCAAGGACTGGGGGAGGCGGGGGAGCGGTTCTGAACCGACCTGCTTTCCAAACACACGTCGGGACTCCCTGAGGGAGCGTTTGATTTGGTAAGGGAACGAGCACGAGAGCCGGCGGAGTCCCCAGGAGCCCCCCAGAGGCCTCTTGAAGTCTGCCCCTGTGCCTCCTCCCTCCCCCCTGGCATGTCGAGCAACCCTGCGCACCCTTCTCAAAATCGATCCCAGAGCTCTCCTGGAGAGTGCTCTGGCCAGGACTCTGAGGCGAATCCAGCTGGGGCGCCCCCGCCCCGTCCCGCCCTCCCAAGACGGCAGCAAGACACCAAGGTCCCCCGACGTGGGGGGACAGACCGGAACGGATGCCGCTGCTCCCCGGACCTCTCCTGGGGTGCGCTCTGACCCAGATGTCGAGGCGAACCCAGCCGTGGCGACGAGGGAAAGTTACCGGGGAGGAGGAGGAGGAGGAGGAGGAGGAGGAGGAGGAGGAGGAGGAGGAGGAGGAGGAGGAGGGGGAGGAGGAGGAGGACAACGAGGAGGAGGAGGAGGAGGAGGAGGAGGAGGAGGAGGAGGAGGAGAAGGAGGAGGAGGAGGAGGAGGAGGAGGAGCAGCAGGAGCAGGAGGAGGAGCAGGAGGAGGGCCCTCCCGCCGGTGAGGGAAAGGCCCCTCCCGCCGCCCCTCCCCGGCTCGCCTCCCCTCGTGCTCGCTCGCCAGCGTGCGCGGCGGAGACGTGAGGCGGCGCGGGTCGTACCACCACTGCTCCACGCTGGACATCACGAGCACCTCGGGAGGCCCCGCCCCCGCCGCCCTCCGCCGGCGCGCGCCGCTCTCGGGGGGCCAGGTGCAGGAGAGGAGGGAGGAGGGAGGGGGAGGAACGAGGAACGAGGAGGGGGAGGGAGGAGGGAGGGAGGGGAGGGGGAGGGACAGGGGGAGGGAGGGGAGAAGGGAGGAGCCTGAGGAGACGGGAGGGAAGGGGGAGGAGGATGGGCGGGGGAGGGCGAGGGGGAGCAGGAGGTTTGCGCTGAGCGGCGAGGCCCCGAGACGACGAGCAGACCAGGCCGGCGACCACGGCGGGGGCACGAGGGACCGAGACGCCACGGTGCAAAGGTCCGAAAGAGACGCACTGTCAGGGCCACGACAAGACGCAGTGCAAATGCGTGGCGTTTTGCCGTCGCACGAAAAGACGAGGAGGAGGAGGACGAGGAGGAGGAGGAGGAGGAGGAGGAGGACGAGAAGGAGGACAAGGAGGAGGACGAGGAGGAGGAGGAGGAGGAGGAGGATTTGCTTGAATGCTCCCAGCTGAATGTGATGAATGGCCCTCAGCAAGAGTGGCCGTTTTTTTTGCGGCCTCGGCGGGCCCGCGGGGGCATCCGCATCCGAGCGCGCGCGTCGGTGCGAGGAGCAACGGTAGGAGGGGCTGCCTCGGGGTGTGGGGAAACACTCGGCGGCGAGCGAGGGGCGGAAGTGAGAAGGGGAAGGCCTTCTCAGAAAGCGGCGGGACTTCTCAGAAGCCCTCGCGCCTTCTGAGAAGTTCGGTGTTTTCGGAGAAGGCTTAGAAAACTTCTCGGAAGGATGGGGGGCTTCCGAGCCTTCTGAGAACGCCCGCCCCTTCTCACTTCCCCCCCTCGCTCGCCGCCGAAACACAGAGCTGGCACCGGCAATACTTCGCCGATAGATCGGCGATGGACCCCCCGCTGGCAAACCTGCACGCTCCTGGGCGGGGCTGGGCCTGCCGGGCCCACATCGTCAGGTCGGGCATGCTCTCCTACAGGGGGGTTTGGGAAGAAACATAAAAAAGTCCAAACGTACCCCAAACTAGTCGAACAGCAGTCGAAGCATCGTCCCCATACTACTACTTCGTTGACTACAATGGAAACGTATATAAAGGACGGGTGGTAAGGACGCAAGACCCTCGGAGGCCGAAATTGGATTTTGTTGGGCGGCGGGCGACCAGTGACAGCGGCAAAGGACGAGCCGCAGAGGCAGGGACAAGAGGGTACCATAGAGGAAGGCGCGCGTCCTTTCTAGGCGCGTTGACTGTATTCTCGAATCTTCCTCCTGTGGAGGGACGTGCCCGCCTCAACCCCGTCGGCGATCCACAGACGCCCGGGGGTCGATGCCTCCCCCCCCTGAGCTTATACTTCGCTCGGGCCCGTCCCCCTACAGGGGGATTTTGGACGACAAATTCTAAAAATACTAAAACAATACTCCAAAAAGGTACAACATTGAAAATACGGAAAATACTCCAACATGTTTTTATTTTTTTGACAAAAAATTGAACACAAATGGTCCCCCGACTATTCTTTTACCATTTTTGCATGCTCCCCCTGTAGAGGGACAGGTCCGACTTGAGCCTATGCCCCGCTGGCCTTACCCTCGGGGGCCACGGCTCGGCGGAATGCCAACGCGACCCCCGGCAAGAGGGCCATCCGGTGCGCGGGTGCCCCGTCCTTGCACGCGGTGGGGCCGTGGTCTCATGTCGGACGTGTCCTCCTACAGGCAGATCTTGGACGAAGAATTTAAACACAGTCAAACATAGACGTATATGTTTGACAATATATTTAAAAGTATATATTTAAACGTATTTAATTAACATGCATACCCCCTCAGCATGTTCAACCTATATATGAATGATATATATATATATATACATATACACGCTGAACATGATGGGAAAAACTAGAATATCGTCCTCATACGATTTCTTTACTATTTTCGAATGTTCCCCCTGTCGAGGGACAGGCCCGACTCAACCGTGGTCACCTGCGCGTTCGGGTTCGGCCCCCCCCCATCGCCTCCCGAAAGGCCGCGCGCGCCAGAGGCCACTCCAGCGAAGGATCCCTCCTGCTTGGCGGCGCGCACAGAGGGGGCGACGACCTCTTGAGAAGAAGGCCGCGCTTCTGAGGAGGCGCCGGCCCTGCATCTGCAGACACGGTTAAGAGGCAACTACTGGGAGGCTTTCGTCGGAAAGATTAAGGAGGATTAAGCCCCATTTGGGAGCTGTTACGCCGGAGTGGGCCTCGGATTCAGCGGGGCTAAGCGGGGCTAAGATGGATTGAGCGGGATCAAGCGGGATTAAGTCGCATTTCGGACCAGGGCAAAATCAGAATTTGGCCTCCCAGGAGTTGCATCCGAAACAAGGCCCCACCCCGCCGTCTCAGGAGCAGGGGCGCCTACCCCCCCAGCCCGCGCTGCGCGCGTCTGGCTTTTACGTGGCGGATTGCGGAAACCCGGGACCCCCCAAGGGCGCCCAAGAAAGCCCCCAGGACGCCCAGGAAGGCTTCCAGGACGCCCAGGAAGGCAAGGCCCCCAGGACGCCATGGAAGGCTTCCAGGACGCCCAAGAAGGCCCCCAGGACGCCCTCATTTATTTCAGTCAGCGGCCGCAGGCGAGCGCGCCAGCGGCGAGTCCAGTCAAAGCGGGGCACGCAGCGACAAATTCACCTAAAGCAGCGGGGCGCAGCCTCACCTACAGCGGCTAGGAAACGCCCTCATTCCTTGGAGGCGCTGTGTTCTTTTTTGTGTTGCTTTACTTCCGCCGGCCTTCCGCCGGCCTTCCGCCGGCGCTCCGCCGGCGGAGGCGGCCTCGTGGTACTTCCGCCGGCCGTCCGCCGCCTTCCGCGGCGGAAGAATCATCTAGCCCAACGAATACCACATTGAATTACGTAAGAAATGGAATATCGAGTGACATGTTGCGTGGTTTTTTGCCCCCGATGAGGAAGGGCTGGAAAAGATGGCGTGATGAAAGGGGTGGTATAACTCCTTCGATCCTCGAAGCCAAGGCCGCGCTGACGGCGTGCCTGGTTAACGGTGCGGTTGGGAAGATTGTGTGTGTGACGCCGAGCTCACGCAAAACAGAATGTAGGAGATCACGGAGCACCGTTTCACACATCTCAAACATGCGAACGCATCGAACGACGACGACACAGCGAGCTGTAGGAACACACGAACACCACGCGTTCCTACACTTGGTTTGGCCACGCACCACGCCTTCCTGCAATTGGCTCTCCCACTTCACGCCGTTAGCTAACACGCCGTTGGCGCGACTGCGGCGAGGGCAAGGCCTTTCTCCTTTCTGGAGCGCCCCACGACGTGCCGCCGCCGCCCCCTCCCGGTGTTGCCCGCGCTCGCCCGGCGGAGGGCCACGAAGTGGCGCCCGCGGGCGCGCGCGGCCGCGCGCGGAGGGCGCTCCTCCTCCCTCCTCCTCCTCCTCCTCCTCCTCCTCCTCCTCCTCCTCCTCCTCCTCCTCCTCCTCCTCAGTCTCCCAAGACGCCAGGTCGCAGGCGATGTTTCTATCCCAACCCCCGACTGCTCGACGAAGAATGGAGCGGCCGAGAGAAGGAGGGGCACCTTGCGATACACCCCCAGAGGGGGCGATTCGGACGCACCCGTATCGAGGATGGACGCCCCCCCTCGTGTCTCCCAGGGTTGGGCCGCACATGTTTGGTCCCTTCGAAAACCCCCCCGAAGCCTGGGATAGGGGTCGACACATCCCCTGTTATTGGGAGGAGTAGGAGGAGGAGGAGGAGGAGGAGGAGGAGGAGGAGGAGGAGGAGGAGGCGGAGGAGGCGGAGCAAAGTGGTCAAGTCCCCCTCCGTTTTTCCTCCCTGGGGGGGGGAGGGAGCAGGAGAGCGCCCGACGAGCGGTGCGGACGAGGGGAGATTCGTGCCCTCGTCGTGATCGTCGTCGTCCACGTCGTCGTCGTCGTCGTCGTCGGCGCCATCGGCGGCGTCGCCGGCGTCGCCGGCGTCGGCGTCGTCGTCGTCGGCGTCGGCGTCGGCGTCGTCGCCGGCGTCGTCGGCAGCGTCGGCGTCGGCGTCGTCGCCGTGGTCCGTCCGCATCGTGCGGGATGCCCGGGTGTGCCCGGCTACTCCGATAAGGGGGCCACATGCGAACCCTACCCCTACCCCCCACGACTTCGGAGGGGGAGGGTGGGCTTCACTTCGTCCGGGAGCTCCCGAGCGAAGTGAACCCCACCCCTCCCCCCCAGAAGTCGTGGGGGGCAGGGGGGCAGGGTTCGCATGTGGCCCCCTATCCGAGGGGAGTCCAGACTTCACGTCGCCTCCGTCCCGAGTGCTCGGCGCACCCGGTGGAGCGAGGAGGCCCGCCCCCCCTCCCGTCCGCTGTGGCGAGCCCCGCCCGCGGGCGGCCAGGGCGAGGCTCCCTGGTCCTCGGAACGTGTGCAAGCGCCCACGTGGGCTCGTCCAGCGAGACCACTCAGTACGACGCCAGCGATGTCACGATCTACTGGTGGGGCTGAACGGCGTACAGGGCAGTTTGTCATACATTTTTTTTTTTTGTTGTTGAATTTTGGATGTTTAATTCATGATTCATTTAGGAATACAACACACGTTTTGAGGATCATCGAGTGGCGCTTCACGGGGGGGGGTCTGGGGAGGGCAGCCGGGGGAGGAAAGGCGGGAGCCCACAGGGATAAGAAAGGTCCATCGCCTATTCCCTCCCGGCGCGGCTCGACCGGGGGCGGAGGGGCTAACTGCGCCCAGGCTCGCCACGTGTCCTGGCTGGTGCTGCTGGCTTTTCGCCGCGATCAGCGGCTCGTCAGGCTTGGGCCTGGATTTTGGCTCTGACTGCGCACTCTAGACGGAAGGAGGCACGACCAAACTCCCCGATGTTGAGGAGGAGGAGGAGGAGGAGGAGGAGGAGGAGGAGGAGGAGGAAGAGGGGAAGAGCAGGAGGCAAATGAGAATGAGGAGGAGGAGGAGGAGGAGGAGGAGGCGACCCACGCGTGGGGCCTGCCGACGCGATCTGCGGCGGCCAAGGCGATCGCGATCGGCGGCCTGCGGCCAGATGGCCTGGAGCAAGGCAGCACGGCAGGCCCAAATGTAACATTCCCCCTCCTTCTCCTCCTCCTCCTCCTCCTTCTCCTCCTCCTCCTCCTACTTCTGCTCATCTTCAAACCCTGCTCCTTGTCCTGGTTATCAAACTATTTCTCCTCGTATTCTCTCCTCCTGCTCAATCTTCTGCTGCTCGTCTTCTTCCTGCTAACCCCCACCTCCTCCTCGTCCTCCTCCCCCTTCCCGTCTCTGCCTCCACCTCCCCTCCTTGTGCTGCTCTTCCTCCACGCGCCAGAACGATCAGATATCCGATTCTCCACCCCAAGGCTTCCTGAGGGTGCCCGGGGGTTGCGGTAGCCAACTAAGCCTCACGATTCGAAGACACTGGGGCCACGGCAGAGGCACCTGAGAGGGGCGGATGAGGACGAGGAGGAGAAACATCAAAAGTAGCATGGGGGCGAGAAGGGAACGATCGCGAATCCGTGAGTAGCCTCGTAGCTCGCACGACCGCAAACGATTACCGCCCTGGTAGCACTGGCCAGTGCCACACACACACACACACGCACACATTCTTAAGCGCCTGGCCGCGAACTCCTGCTTACACGTCTGACTGCGCCTACGTGCACGTTGCTCAAAGCCTCCAGGTGCTCCGAAGTTCTCACAGATTTCATGTTGCGAGCACGCAGTGCACTTTAATTCCGCAGGGTGCGACTCTATGGCCTCAGGTCTCTCGTTGAACGAATTTTAGAAGTGCGCAAGAACTCCACACATCTCGTCGCCATAACTTTCTCAGCCCATGGGTACCGCAATTGTTAGTTTGCCAGTTCCGACGCGTTTCGTTATCCTGGCCAGATATCACGAGGCAGCCCAGTGCTGCGCGGGGAGGATGGACATACACCTGTGTGTGATATACACATCCGCCACCGTGCCTCTGGGCACGCAGTGGGCGTGTCCTCAGGTCCTTTGCCTAATCCCTGAAGCCTCAGCCCTCAGTCCAGAGGACCCCCGGCCCCAAATTACGGATTCTACAGGGGTTTGGCGTGGTTCCACGGGGCTCCTCCGCGTCGTGTCGCATGATTTTCCGGTGCCCAGGAGGGCCCCAACACAAGCCAAGAGGGCCCAAAGAGGCCCCCAAGACGGCCCAAGGGGGCCCCGATACGCTCAGAGATCGGTTCAAGACGCCCAAGATGGGCCCAAGACGGCCCACGAGGCCTCCAAGCGGCCTCCCAAGAAGGCTCCCAGAGGCCCAAATCATTGATGTTCTTGAGGTTTGTTTCAAGGTGTTTGGCCTACTCGTCCTCTCGGCTCACCGACGCTCCAAGAGGCCCCAGAGACCGGAGACCACCCCAAAACTGCCAAAGAGGCCTCCGAGAGGGCCCAAGACGGCCTAAGAGGGCCCCAAGACGGCCCAAGAGGCGTCAAAGACGGCCCAAGAGGGCCCCAAGACGGCCCGAAAAGGAGCCCAAGACGCGGAGCACGAACCGAACATCCGAGCCTTCCGCCCACAGAGGCCCCCAGGAGGCACCAAGAGGCTTCCAGGAGGCCCCAAGAGGCCCACAAGAGGCAGAAAAGATGCCCCAGGAGGCCCCACAACGGCCCTCAGGAGCCCTCGAACTGCCTCCAAGAGGCCCCCAAGAGGCCTCCCACGAGATCCCAGCGAACATCCAGCAGGCTTCATACCCGCAACCAACATCCAACATCCAGCAAGGCGGCGGGATGGGCCAAGGGCCAGTTGTTATTGTTTGTGTTATCTCTCCCTCTCTCGTTCTCTCGTTATCTGTATATGTATATGTATACATATATATATATGTATGTATGTATATATACATATATTTATATGTCTAGGGAGAGAGAGAGAGAGAGAGAGAGACAGACAGACAGACAGACAGACAGAGAGAGAGAGAGCGAAACACAAAGAGAGAGAGAGAGAGTGAGGGAGGGAGAGAGAGAGAGAGAGAGAGAGAGAACGAGACAGACAAACAATGGCAACCAACAGCCACATCTGCCAACGTACCTCGAGGCACAAAGTGGTGTGTCATCAGGTCTCGCTCTTTCTTTCATGCGTTGAGTACTGCCCATCTTATGTCTGCAAGGAGCTCGCGGCCCCGCGTTCCGGGCGCCCCTGGGGGGGTGCCTGGGCGACCTCTCCAGGAGCCGAACGCGCGCAGCTTGGGACATGCAAGTCCAGCACGGCCTCAGATTGCCCCTGTGACCGTGCTGGGGTCTGCTGGGCGTCTCTAGGAGGAGGAGGAGGAGGAGGAGGAGGAGGAGGAGGAGGAGGAGGAGGAGGAGGAGGAGGAGAGGAGGAGGGAGGAGGAGGAGGAGGAGGAGGAGGAGGAGGAGGAGGAGGAGGAGGAGGAGGAGGAGGGGGAGGGAGAGGAGGAGGAGGAGGAGGAGGAGGAGGAGGAGGAGGAGGAGGAGGAGGAGGAGGGCCTTCTTGGAGGCCCCGTGAGCTGGCCCAAGAGACTCAAGCAAATATATCCCCCGTAGCTCTTCGTACGACGTTTGCTTTCTCGCATGTTCGGCCACACGAGCGGGCAAGACGGCTCCTCGAGCATTGAAGATCGCCCGAGGACGGCCCCTTAGCGGCGCCCAAGCACAGACTGTTCATGCCGAGGCCTGTTCCTTAGGATGGTCCCGGGGACCGCCAGGAGAGGAAGCCCCCCCAGAGGATCTCAAGAGGCTCCAAGAAGCCCCTAAGATGCCCCCAAGAGGCCCCCAATTGGCCGCCAAGAGGCCCACAGGGGACCCCCACACGACCCCAAACAGATCACCCTCCTTGGGACGGCTTGGGGCTGCATTGGATGGCATCTGGGGCGGTCTTGGGGGCGTTGGGAGTCTTCTTCGCGTCCTGCTGGGCCACCTTCGTGTCCCCGTTCGGCAATATCCTGGCCCTTTGCCCTTTTGGCCTTCTCGGGGGCCCCTTGGGACCATTTCGGAACCCGTGCGTGTCGGTTGGGGACCATTTTTACCCAGTCCGGGCTTTCCCCAAAGCATCCCGGGCCGTCTGGGTCATGAACTGTCTCGGTAGCCTTTGGGGGGCATCTACTGCTCCCTTTGGACCATCCTTTGCGTTTCGGATGCCATCCTGGAGCCATCTTCAGCGAAGGAAGATGCAAAGCCGAACTCCTGTGGAAATCAAGCGTTTGGAACAGCTCTGGACTGCTGAAGAAAAACGCAAATACTTCGAAGCGCTCCAAAAAGCCTCGCGGGCGCGCTCCTGACCGCCATTGACACGTCTTGATACGGCTCCGCAGGGACGCACAGAAGCGTAGGAGGCCCCAGGGACGCTGTGCAGGGGCGCCCGGGAGGCCTCGGGGGGGGGCCAACTGTGCTTCGTGGGGGGGGGGGGTGCGGAGGTCATGCCCCCCGCCGTGTAAAAGCATGCAGACGTACCCAACGACACACCGAGAACGGGGGCCCGATCGGGCGCCCTCCTGCTGCCCTGCTGCGCGCCAGCGTGCCTGGCGTCAGGGCCGGCGCGAGGAGAAGGGCCATCAGGAAGTGCCCAAGGTAGTTGATGGTGAAGATCTTGCTCTGCCCGCTCTCCGCGAGCCAGGCCTGGAGGGCGACGGGGGGGATCGGGGTGTCCAGAGGAAGTGTTTTTTGATGGGCCCGGCCGCTGCGCCGCATGCGCAAAGCACACTGGACGTGTGAGGAAGCCGAGTGGCTCCATTCTCTTTAGGGTGGGGCCCCCTTGCAGAGTCTGTTCCAACCGGCTCGGTTGCACTTGGTCTTTCCCGTTCGAGGGCCGACTCGAGGGCCCGTATGCTGCTCGCCCAGCATGGCCAGACGAGCTCCAGAGGAATAGCAGTTGCATGCTGCGCATACGAGCACGAGTGAGGCGCTGGAGCAGTCAAACAGAACGCACTTGTGGTTGAGGCTCCCTGAGGTCTGGGCACGAGGCGAGGAGGAGGAGGAGGAAGACGACGACGACGAGGAGGGGAGGAGGACGAGGTCTGCTTGCTGCGCCTTGGGGGGGCCCGAGGTGGGCCTCGCTTCTGGAGGAGCGCAACCACACTTTTTGGATCCGCGGGTCGAGAGCGCACCTCTTCCGGTCGAAGCTAAGCGGGCCGCGCACAGCTTTAATTGACAGAGGGGGGGAGGCAGAAGGAGGAGCCTCACGTCAAGGCCAGAGCGCAACCACACCGTGCACTGCCAAAAACGTTGGGATCCACTCGGCGGACCCATCCACACCACTGAGGGGCCGGGGATCCCTCCGAGGAGCCTTGACACACGGTGGAGGCATTGGATAAGGAACCGTTCGATACGGAATCCAGGGTCTGGAAGCCAGTGGAACGCCAATCGTGGATTGGCCGCAGATATCACCGCTGCCCTTATCAGATAAGGAACCCTCCAAGGGCCGAAGCCTCCTGGACACGTTCCTTAACGAACGCCCTCACCGCAATTAGAATGACACTCCACCCCCGGCAGGTCGGCGCGGGGCTAGAGGGGCAAAAGAAAAGCAAATCGAGGGCCTGATGCGCGCGAGTTTTCTCACACCCGAGAATATTCCTGCCACCGCGGGAACTACCCTGCAAAACCAGACCCGCATAAGGACGCTTCGGTGAGAGCTGCAAACTAGAAGGCAGATCGTGCACACTGACAACGTTGGCACAACCAGACTAAAATTGAGAGGGGCATGGCGCAACGGCGCCCACCATCGCACCAGAGGTGAACTCGCCAGCCTGGGGAGTCTGAGGGCAGCTGTCCAAGACTAGGCCCCGGGCCATCGAACGCAAATGGCCAGGCGGCCCAAGCATGGCTAAACCCCAATCTGCCCCCGTTGGACGCGCGCACCACTCTCCGCGTGCACGGCCCGTCCATGAAGATGTGCTTGGTTCGCCTTAAACGCGCCGTGGGTGTTTTTTGTTTAAGCGTGTTCTACGTTGGGCGTTTGTTTAGCGTTTTCAGAGCTGTTGTTTTGGCGTTGTTTTGCGTTTGTGTTCGCTTCCAGGGTGAAAACGCTAAAGCACCGGTCTGAAAACGCTCAAATAAAGCATAGTGCTATGGCATGCTTAGTTTTTTTCTTGAGACCTGAAAGCACCCAAACAATGATTTCTAAGTCGCCGAACTGAAAACGCTAAGAAAACGCCCTGGGTATATTCAAGGCGAACCAAAAATATGTGCTCCCGCACATGCTGAGGGAGTCGGTGGGTGGGGCAGGCGAAGCCTTCGACCTCGAAACCGTCGGGGAAGAGCCTGAAACGCACTCCGTCGCCCCCGCCTGGTCGGCGAAAGGGGAGGAGGGGGGGGTCCAATATTGCAGGGTTTAGGGTTCAGGATTTTTGCGTCGGCGGCGAGGCAGAGGCAGTCCGCACCAGCGTGTGGCTCATCAGGGCAGGCGATAGGCAATTTGTCCGAAGAGGCCAGAAGCCAGCTCAGACGGAGTCGTCCCACCGCCAACTTCCGCCCTTCTGCAGCACGCTCATCAACAGCAGATGGGCAGTTCCAGATCCTGCGGAACAGCGAGTCCCCTGGGGCGTCCAGAGGAGGTGAGGGAGGGAGGGGAGGAAGGGAGGGAGGGAGGGATGGGGGGGAGGGAGAAAGAGAAAAATAAGAAAGGGAGGGAGAGAAAGAGAGAGAGAGAGAGAGAGAGAGAGCAGTCTGGATAACAGCGATGACGCTAGCAATGAGCGCCGAGAGGGCGATACAGCCTCACGCCTGCCTCCCCTCTGTGCCTCCTCCCCCACGCCCGCCTCTTCTCCTGCCCTCGCATGCTGGCACAGGAGGGGAGGGACCTCCCTCCCCCTGCCCTGAAGGAAACATTTTTTGGGGTCTGCGGGTCGAGAGCGGGCCTCGTTCGGTTAAGAGCTAGGCGGGGCGCGCAAAGCACTAATTGGGGAGACAGGGCGCGGGCGGGCGGGGCCTCAGGCGGCCGGAGGGCGCGGGGTGCAGGCGGTGCCGAAGAGCCACGAGAGGCCTATCATTGGCAACATCCGAACCACGCACAGCGGGGTCAAGGAGGGGCGGTACAAGCTGTGTACGGTTTGCCGAGGGCGCGCACAAGCAAGGCGTGTGGAACGCTGGATTGGCGCGTCTCGCATCGCCCAGGCAGGCCTCAGCAGATCAATCAGAGCCACGAGCTGTCCTGCTCTCGTGAACCCTGGTGGTGTCGCAAGTGTGATGCTTGCTTGCAGCAGCGCGGAGATGCGCTCGGGAGTGCGAGGCCGCGGTCCCCCCCCCGCCGCCACAGCCTGGGGCAGGAACATGCCGTCTGAACTCGTGGCCCCCTCCTCCCCCTCCTCCTCCTCCTCCTCCTCCTCCTCCTCCTCCTCCTCTCCTCCTCCTCCTCCTCCTCCTCCTCCGCCCCTCCCTCCTCCTCCTCCCTCCTCCTCCTCCTCCTCCTCCTCCTCCTCCCTCCTCCTCCTCCTCCTCCTCCTCCTCCTCCTCCTCCTACTCCTCCTCCTCCTCACAGCCTGGGGCAAGAACATGCTGTCTGAACTCGTGGCCGCCTCCCCCCGGGTCTGCAGTCCAAACGTGTCCGCCAAGGGGCTGGGAGCGGGGGAGCAGTTTTTCGCGTGTGCTGTTCTCCCGTGTCGTGCTCGGATCTGGAGGCTTGGAGCGTGCGCCCAGGCCTCCCGGAGACAGACCCAGTAGTACAGTCAGAAACGCACTGTGGTCCGTGCAGCTTTGTTTGGGCGGCGAAAGTCCGGCAAAGTTACTTGCACGGACGGGGGGGGGGCTGAATCTGAAGCACGCCGCAAACGACCTACACGTGCGGAAAACACGCAAGTCGACAGGCACTTGCACGCTGGTGTTCGCTTGAAGAGGGGCGAGGGGAGGGGGGGGGGGGGGGGGGGCGAACGCCACGCAAGTAAACTTGCTTGAATCGAAAAAAAGACAGGCTCCGAGCGAAAATCTGGAGTCACGAAACGGTGCGGTGACAGACCGTACGGTGACCTCAAAATCCCCCAAGACCTCACCGCACGGTCCGTCAACGCACGGTTTTGGGACCTCGGATGCCCCAGTCGCCCGAGACGTCCTCGGAGAACGACCAGAGTCCCAAAACCGTGCGGTGACCCCGAATCCCCCCCGACTCACCACACGGTGTGGTCCCCGCCCCGTTTGGGGGCCCCCGAGAAAGGGAGCCCCAGGGATCCGATGTATTGCAGGCACCGGAGATCTCGGCCCCGCTCCGAGGGGCAGGAGGAGGAGGAGGAGGAGGAGGAGGAGGGGGAGGAGGAGGAGGAGGAGGGGAGGAGGAGGGAGGAGGAGGAGGAGGAGGAGGAGGAGGAGGAGGAGGAGGAGGAGGGGAGGAGGAGGAGGAGGGAGGAGGAGGAGGAGGAGGAGGAGGGGTGGAAAGAGGTAATGTTCTGTCCTGGATCGTGCTGTTGGCGGCCCCGGGGGCCAGGCGGGGGCCCCCCCCATTCGTGGCCGGAGGCGCGCAGACGCCACCCGCCGTGCGTTCTTGTCCTCACTCGGTGGGCCAACTTTCCACCGCTACCAGATGCAGGGCGGGGGAGAGGGCAGGATGGGGAGGTCCTCCTCCTGCTCCTCCTCCTCCTCCTCCTCCTCCTCCTCCTCCCCTCTTCATCTTCATCTTCCCCTCCTCCTCCTCCTCCTCCTCCTCCTCCTCCTCCTCCTCCTCCTCCCTCTCCTGCCTATGGTCGCGGCGGTGGAGAGTCGGCGCACGATCACTTTGTCACGACGCGAGAGTGTCTGGGGAGGGACCGCCCGGGGGAACCATCGAGAGAGGACGGGCTCCATGTGGGGGGAGGCACCGGACTGGACTCGGCGAGGCATCGCCGCTAGATCGGCGACAGGCCCCCGAGTATGTGCTCCTACGGGCGAATTTTGGAAGAAAATAGAGATCAAAACGACGCGAAGATCGGGACAAAATCGGATCGGGATAACTCGAAATCTCTGAGAATCGGCGGGTTTGGAGGATGTATTGGGCGCCGCGGCCGCTCCAGAGCGTTCTGGAACGCTCTGAGAGCGCTCCGGAACGCTCTGGAGCGATTTATCCCGATCCTAGCCCTGTTTTAGAGATAGCCGAAGCACGACAAATCGTCACAATACTGTGTTTTGTGGCTATTCTTGCATGTTCCTCCTGTGCGAGGGCACGCCCGACCTGACCCGAGCAGCGAAACCGCGCGCTCCTGGGCGGGGTGGGCCATGAGGCCCCTGTCGGCAAGGAAAGATCTGTGCGATTGGGGGGTCGTGGCGTTCTCCCTGGGCCTATCCCACCCCTACCACTGCACCCTGGCGTTCGAGTCATGACTCGGCTTTCTGGTGGCTGTTCGGGGCGATTCTGGCACCCCTAGAGCGCCGTCGGCGGGGCGCAGCTGCTGGTGGGCATGCCGAAGCTGGAAAACCGCCGAGGACCGACGAAAGCGCCCGCAAACCCCGAAGGTCGAACCCGAAACTTCCTCCCCCCTGGGCCTACCCCCCCCCCTCTTACGGTCGAGATTGATTGGAGAAGACACGAGACCCTTCCGAGGGCCACATGGCCACAGGAATGCAGAAGGAATGGGTCGCGAAGCAGCACAGGCCAGAAGAGCACCCCTGAGCTGGCAGGGCCGACCTACGAATCAGCCTCGACCGTGCCGCTGCTCCTGCCCTCGTGCCCGCACCCCCCGCCGGCGCCTTTGGAACACATTTTGGGCACTGGGACTCACCATCCGACTCCCGCCCCCGACCCTGGCCGACTCTGACTGGAAGACTGGCCGACTGGCCGACGGGCCGACTGCGGAGTCGGAAAGCCCTTTCCGGTGCCTCACAAATTCCCCAATCAGTGCTTGCACTGAAGGGGTCCTAACGGAAATTGAAAGATTGGGCGAAAGAGCTCCGCCGACTTTGGTGGCCGGCTGGGCTCCCGGTATTCCCGGTCTTCCGGGTTCCCAGGTTCCTGGTTCTGGGTTCCCGGGTTCCTGGCTATCAGTTCCGAGCCGATTTCGGTGGGCGCTGGGTCCCCAGGCTCCCAGCCGATCTCCTTTCTCGAAAACCATCCACTGATTGGGGTGTTTCCCTGGTGTATTCCAAATCCCTTATTAATCGTCCCCCGGGTCCGGTTTTTTAAGGCGCCTTTTTGGTCATTAAGGGGGTCCGGTTTATTAGGTCGCTTTCTTTGGATTGGAGCTGAGGGGGTCAGGTTTATTAAGGCGCCCCATCGAAGGGATTTGGAGTAAGTTTCCTCCTCCGCTGGCGGAAGCAGCGACACCGGGGGGGGGGGCGGGGCGAGCGCGCAGCCGAGTCGTCGGCGTTCTTGTCGCCCGCGTGCGTCCTGCCCGCGTTGAGCACGAGGAAGTCCTCTGGGGGGGCGGGCGGCGGGGCGCCGCTCTCCTCCCGCCCCTCCTCCTCTATCCATCCTCCTCCTCCTCCTCCTCCTCCTCCTCCTCCTCCTCCTCCTCTCCTCCTCCTCCTCCTCCCTCCCCCCCCCTCCCTCCCTCCCTCCCGTCCCTCCCTCCCCATCCTCCTCCTCCTCCTCCTCCCTCCTCCTCCTCCTCCTCCTCCTCCTCCTCCTCCTCCTCCTCCTCCTCCTCCTCCTCCTCCTCCTCCTCCTCCGCCCCTGGGGGGCGAAGCGGAGGGCGGGGGCAGAATCGGACCAGGCAGGACGAATCGGCGATCTCCGATCCGCCCAACAGGTCTGCATACTGGACCCAAAGTAGAGGGCATAACATCCGCCCCGATGGTGACCACTCCGACACGCGAAGCCGTTTGGCAAACGCACCCAACGAAGGAATCAAGCAGGGCAGGGCTGTGTGGTAAACGCCCAAGGCCGTTTAGTAAACGCCACTTGTCGGGTCAGGGTGGTTTTTCCTCCCTTGACAAAAGCCCTGGGGGGCGAGCGAGGGTCCTGGTCGTGGGTCTGGTACACAAAATTCCCTGCCTGGGGCGTGGTTGTTGTATGCTGAAAGTGGCCCACGGCGGTGGACTCTGACTGGGGCGGGGAGGGTGAGGTGCACAAAGAAAATCTGAAGGATCCGAGATCTGGCGGCTCTGGAGGATGAATCGGGCGCGGCGGCCTTCTCGGAACGTTCCAGAGAGCTCTGGGACGATGTTGATCCGTGTCCTAGAGCCCGTTCCAAGAGGTCCGTAGGATATCTGTTTCAGATCCTGTTACAGATTTTTTTAGCAGCACGGACCAAAAACATATATCCTGACCATATGTTGGCCAGGATCTATGTTTCAGTCAAGGTTTATTTGTTCCAGCCAGGATGCATAATTTCAGCCAGGATCTGATTTTACGCTTGATGGTGTTTGCTCATCTGGCTTGTAGATGCGTCTGCCAGATGTGATACTCGTCCTCTTGGCAGGGGCAGGGGTCGCATGGCAAGGGTCGCATGGCAGCGCCGTGCCCCTTTCGGCACACCCCTCACGAGGATCGT